TTTGACTGAGCCACTCTTCATAGGGGCGCTGAGCACCGGACCGGGCCAGAATCTGCTGGCTGCTTCTGGTGTCTCCCATCTTCCTCTTGGACTTTATTCTTCTGGTTCTCCAACTTCCTGCTTCAGCCTCACCTGGACAGGAAATGTTTTCTTCAGCCTGATTTTCATTGGACGGTAGCCGGATGACCGGCCAGACCAGCAGGTGGCGCTGCGGCTCCAGGATGGGAGGAGGATGATGTTGGTTCTGTTTGAAACGGAACTTTAAAACGTTTATTGACGAAATATCAAAATCTACCTGGATTATTTTGTTAAATTTCAGCTGAAGGTGTGCAGGGATTTGGAAAATATGGAATTAATTTTCAGAGGAAAATGTTTATAGTTTAGATTTATCTTTTTTATGTGGGTAATGGTGTGTGGCCAGGCAGCATTTTGTCGCCTTTTTAACCTGCATATGGAGGATTTATCTAAACTGCTGAATCAATGTAGGACTGGCTGTCAGGTTGGTAATCGAACCATCAACCACCTGATCTACGCTGACCATCCTGTGATGTTCTGTCCATATATGCTGGTCTGCAGCAACTGTTAAGGGTTACAGCATGATATTAAATACAATCCAAAAAAGAGCAACATCATGATTGTCAAGAGCAAAGAAGACACTAAATGATCTTTTCCTGACTTCACCCTGACTGGCAGCATCGTCCAGGTCACTGATGAGGTCAGACATTTGGGACATCACATCACCACTGACCTGTCTGATGACAGACGTTTACAGGCAGCGTTGTACTCCATGTGTACCAGCTGATATTCCCCTGTGGAGGTTCTCCATGTGCTCAGCATCTGTCAAAGCTGCACGTTTTAAAGCGTACTGTGTACACAGCCCGCCTGTGGCGGCGTTACAGGAAAAGCAGTATGAACAAACTGCAGGTCCTTATAATGATGGCATGAGGATGCTGCGTAGGATGGAGTAGAGCCAGTCAGATGTTTGAATGCCAATGTACTGCTGAGCTTCAAAACATTATGACCAGATGTAGAGACTCTGCAAACGGCATCAGACTGAATCCTGTTCAAAGCTCAGTGAGGTTCTTCACTGGCGCTTTAGTTTATATGGCAGTGATTATTTTATTATATATGTTTTATTTTGTTATTTTTATTGTTCTTGTTCTGTTTATGGACCATGATTCTGTCTAAATAAACAAGATTGATTGATTGATTGATTGATTGATTGATTATAATATGAATCATTCTGATTCCTTTAATCATTTCTGTCATTTTCTGTTTTTCTGCTGAATCTTTTTTATATTTCTGCCTGAACTGATGAATTTATTCCCTAAAAGTCTAAATGAGCTGTTAGCCCCGGGCTAACCCGTCCCATCATCAGAACCGGACGGGCGGTTCGATTCCAACTCTGCTTCTTCCAGAACCTCAGCCTCTCTGGTTCGGACTCCTGGTTCCGAAAATTCAGGTGAACAGCGGTTCCTCTGTGCAGCAGCCGAGGCTCTCCATGCCTACTTCAAGGACTGCAGGAAAACTGACCACCAAGCTTCCAGCTGAGCGGCTGTGCTGCAGCGTAGCTCCGCCTCTTCCTGACTCGGCGCCACCGGAAGTTCTGAGTGTTTTGGTTCAGCATCACTTCCTGTGTCCATGCTGGACTGCATGATGCTTTTCTACAGTGGATAAGAAACGATCCGAGTTATTTAAACTTCAAAGTGTTTTACGAAGGTCACTGAATAATTGGCTCTAAATCTGGAGAAATACTGAGTTTGGATCTAAACATTGAAATAGATGTGGATCTGAAATACTCCTGGTTCTGGTTCTGGTCCTGGTCCTGGTCCTGGTCCTGGTCCTGGTTCTGGTCCTGGTTCTGGTTCTGGTCCTGGTCCTGGTCCTGGTCCTGGTCCTGGTTCTGGTCCTGGTTCTGGACCTGGTTCCTCCTGGTGACTTTATGCTTTTTAAGTTGAAATGATTCAGATTTTACCATCTCTATGAATAAATGAAGTGAGGATGAAGAAGCTCTTGTTAATTATTCATGTGTTCATCGTGTTTCTGGCTCCCCCCCCTTCCCCCGCCCGACTCCCTCCTCCTCCTCTTCCTCCCTTGCCAACGGTTGCCATGACAACAGGCTCTCTCGCCCCAGAATCGAGATGTGAGGCCTGATGTCTTCCTGTGTCTCTTGATGTTTCATGAGACTAAAATAAACTGAACCCGATCTCCGTTCAGACCCTGCGGTTCTTCGCTGACTCGGTTCATTTGGTGAAAACCGGAGAATCTCCAACGTTTGGAGAAAATAGTTTGTACCAAAACCTATAAACTGAAGTGAAGAGCCGAGGTTTTGATCAGGACAGATGAAGCCGATTTAAAACGTTTATTCAGAAAACATTAAAGGTTTTAAACTGTTCTGTACGTTTATGTTGTAATGAATAATCTTTTGGTTGTGTTGGTTAAACACCACAAGCCATTTCAATGCTAGCGCTAGGCTAGCACATTAGCTTTGGTTGTATTTACCCAGAATGCCCTGCGGTGTAGTCCACTTCCTGCTTTTGGAGTCTCTGGTCCGCTGGACGTTCACATTCAAACCGAACCAGAGTTCACTTCAACTGAACCCAGACGGAGGTTTGGAGGACCAGAGTTAGCTTAGCATTCACACCTCACCAACCAAACCGGACTTTGACTAGGCAGACGGACTGGAGTCAGCCTTAAGCTCCGCCTCCTTCCCACATTCCTCCCAGTTTCTTAACATCTGGTATGAATTTTATAGGTTCATATTCAGAAACAAATAATTTCTCTGGTCCTTTTGTTCCCATGTGGTGACCAGCTGTCCTCTGATTGGACGGTTGAAACCACCAACATCCAATCAGATTGAGGTCAAGCAGCTTCTTGTTTCATGTTATTTTCTACAGATTTCTCGTCATTATTGGACATTAATTAATAAACTCATAAGAAGCTGAATAATCTGAGCTGATAGAAAAGACGTGAAAAAATGATTCTGTTTCTGATGAACGAGGCTGAAGGATTTATTCTCCTGAAATGTCATCAGAGTGAAGACGTCAGCATCATTCACTCATTCATCCGTTAGTTTAAGGCATGCAGAGACTCAGACGGCATCGGTGATGAAGCTTCATGCTGGAACCGAAAGCTGAACAGGAAACAAGAGATTAAATACAAAACGGATAGAAATATTAAAATACAGATTCAACTAAACCAGATAGAATCGATTCAGCATCAATCAACAGAAATGAAAAGTCCAGCAGCAGGTTTGGACCTTTAGTTCAGTAAGGAAACAACTTTTAGTTTCACTGACCTGCAGCTCCTCAGCCTGTCGCTTCATATCCATCTGGTTCCAGAACCAGGACTAACCGGTTAGACTCTGGGCAAGTTACCAACCAATCAGAGCCAGGGCCAATTAGCACCAACACTTACAGCAAAAGCTAATTAGTAATGGCCTAGTTCAAGGCCAAACTGTTTTGAGATCCTACCAAATGATAACTGACAGACAGCAGGCTAGCTAAAAAGTTACAGAGAAATCCAACTCTTGGTTCCTAAAAGCTTCGTCTGGACTTTTCATTCCCCAGAAATAAAAACATCTGATGAAAAAACTTTTCTGTTCAAATAAAAACTCCAACAGTTTCTCTATTTACACGTCTTGTGCCAGCAGATGGGAGGTGTTCCTGTTACAGTCACAATGTTAGCATAATGTTAGCATAATGTTAGCATAATGTTAGCATAATGTTAGCATACAAGCAGCAGAGAGTTCCAAACAGACCCAGAGCGTTCACACCGAGGGAAGCTGCACGTTCGACGTTTCACTTGCATAATGTGGTTAGTAAAGAGGCATGCTACAATCAGAGCCGGAGCGGGTCGAGCCGTGAACAAGGTGACTGGGGACGTGATGGTTCTGATCATCTTCAGATCGGACCAGCAGAAGGTTCTGGCGGTCCAGGTTACTTTGTTCCTTCACCACTTTGTTTCTTCTTGTTCCACCCAAACAGTAACGGACCATCTGCCTCCTGAGCTCCTCGCTGCCACCTGGTTTCCACTCAGCGGTGTGGTACCGGTGGTACCGGTGGTACCACTCAGATAACCATAGTGCCCATTGAGACAGGAAACTCATGGAAAGTAAAAGCCTTTCATTTGGTTCTAGCAGACCAAACCTGCAGGTTTCTGTTGCACAAATCAAGAAGCTGAGAAGGAGCAAAGTAACCAGAAGCCGATTTCATGTTGAACAGAACAACCTGAGCTCAGCCAGCAGGACACCGCAGGTACTTACAGAGTTTCTCAGGTGGCTCTGCTGCTGAGTGAAGCTACAGTTCAATGTAAAGCATTCAGTAATACGGTAAACATGCACAGGTGATACGAGATTCTGGTTCTGTTACAGCGAAGTTCATCTGGGCTTAGTCCAAACAGGAGTCCATTAGCAACATGGCAACGTTGGTGTGCAAGAATAATTCACAGTAGTGATCATGCAGAATTATTACATGAACAGACAGAGTTTGGCACCAGAAGCCCTGCAGGGCTGCAGCATCATCAGAACATTTCAGAGGAAGCGCTAACAGCTGGGAGCAGAATGGGAGAAAAACTGGAGATGAGCCTGAAAGGACCCAGACGTCAGGCTGAGCTCAGTCCACCGTTCCTGGGATCCGTCCCGCCTACTGGTCACCAACGCTAGCTAAAATGTTTGTAGCGCTAATCCTAAAACACGAATCATGAACATTAGCGCAGCTACAGCGTGTCAGTCTGTTCAAATCTAGAAAACCGCTAAAGTGCTAAACAAACACTTAGCTGTGCTGTTAGCACATTAGCATAAGTGTTGCCACCACTGATATGAACTTCCTGCTTCAGGTCCAGAAATCTAATTTACCAGCTCTCCCTGCCAATTTCTATGCTTTGTTCAATTTTTACTGGTTTTGATTTATAGCAATTATTTGGATTAAAAATCCTCATAAAGTGGAACTGGAGTTGGAAACGGTTCATTTTCTCTGGCGGCTGTAGAATAAACTTTAAACTTTTTATTGGGGAGTTGGAGCTGATCAAATAGAAACTTTAAATTTTATAGAATTGTTTTACTAAATTGTGATGCAAATGTAAATGAAAACCATAAAGGAAGGGTTCGGACTGAGCTGGTTCTGACTCATCTGGGCCTGAAACTCCAGTTAGCCTTGAGTTCCTGCAGGAAGAGGAAACGGCTCAGAGTTTCTGAGATGAAGCTCAACTCTGGGAGCAGAACCCGATCCACTCTGATCCCCCTCAGAAAGGCCCAGAGAGCCGGAGATGCCGAGTAAACGTAACCTAAGCTCCCAGATGAATAGAAGTCCCGGGAATGACGGGGAATAATGTGATCCGAGTCATCGGTTCAGGTCCAGTAAGCGGAGACGCTGCGGTCAGACAGGATCATTAAGAATGGCTGAGGGGCTGACCCGGGATCGGTTTCAGAGGTCGACCTTCACCGGTCAGACTGGAGTGAACCTGAGGTCCGACGTCAGGACACCAGGCCTTCTCGGGTTTTCTCAGCTTCACCATCTGACATCTGCTGCTTTCGCAGGAATCAGTCAAACTTTCCAGCTTCAATCCAGCTGAACGTTTCTGATTACTGATGAAGAACCTTCCTCTTCCTCTCCTCCACAGCAGAGCCGGTCCTGCTGGTCCGGTTTCCTGCATGTTTTACTTCTGTCCCCGGTTCAACATCCTGGCATGACAAAGTTCTGCAGAGGTTCTGCTGATGAACCATCCAGGTGTGTTGGACCAGGGAAAGAGCTCACAGGTGCAGGACGCCGGGCCCTGGAGGACGGACCTGGGACTCCTGGTCTTCCTGGTGCAGCAGCTCCTCCTCGCTGAAGGATCCCACGTACCTCATCATGACCTCATGAGGTTTACTGAAGCGGGAGGGTTTTCCTCAGGTGTGTGTGACTATGAACGAGCTGCAGCTGCAGGCTGTGCGTCGAATGTTCAGGTTTGATGAAGCTTGAGGGAGCCTGAAGGCCGAGTCCAGATGTCAGGACCTCTGAACTCCAGTGACAAGAAGCTCACTGAAGTCTTAAATTCAGCTGATTTTATGGGGAAGTTTTGATTTCCTCTGACTGGCTGTAAACTTAGAGGTGCTTCTGATTTAACATGGACTCTGATAATGAAACCGATGGAAGTCCAGAACAGAATCATGAGTCGGTTCTGGACGCAGTGGCTGAAGGAAACCTGATGTTTGGGTCAGAGAAAGGTGGAAAAACTTTTGTCCGTTTGTCAACAAACGGACAAAAGTTTGTTGTCCGTTTCTTTCCTGCCTTCACAGTAAAAGTCTTGATCCATCCCCAGTTCAAAGTTTCATAGCAGCAGCATCTCTCAGTTTTACAACAGCTTAGACCATTTTGGCATCAGAACATGAGATCCAGCAGTTTGTTTCAACACCAATAATCCGTCTTCCACAGAGACAAACGTCTGATTCCAGGGTGGTGGGAGAGAAGAGCGTTGGATCGGGAGCGAAGCTGGAACCACAGAGGGATCCGTCGGTCAGCGTTGGGACAGAATTGGCTGGTTGTGTTGGAGGTAGAGCGTCAGGCAGGTCATGCTCATCATCGTGCAGAAATAAAACCACAAGCTGGAACAGAAGTACGATAGTTTTTCCATCTGGTGAAGGTGGATGGGAACAATAGTGCTTCAGAGACTAGACAGTGCTGCGTTGGTCTGGATCTGGTCCTGAAGATGTCATCAGGATTTTAAAATCCCTGCAAAACCGAACAGAAGAGCTGACACTGACGCGTCCAGATGGAGTTTGGGTTGCGTTCTGGGCAGAAAGGAGGCTGACTGTGTGAGGTGAGGTTCCATACTTACGTCCCCAGTTGAAGGCGACGGCTGCAGCGATGATAGCGATTCCCCCTAAAATGGAGACGACGGACAGCACCAAGGCGTTGCGACCCAAACGGCGGGCTCCGTCCACGTTGCCCTGCTGCAGACTGTTCCGAGACTGGAGGGAAACATGAACCAGGTTCACAGGAGAACCAGTATGACCAACTGTCTGCAAAGCATGTTTGGCTGTTCTTCCATGAATCCTGGGATTCATCAGCCCTTCCTTTGGGAAAAGTCTTACCATCACGGAGAAAGTGAGGGCTACGATGTTGATGGGCACCAAGGGGCAGAAGCAGGACAGGATGGCCAGGATCAGGTAGTCCCTGGGTTTCGATCCGTCCCCAGTGACCTCTGTGATGGCACTGGGCTGGCGTGTGAGCGAGGGTCTCGGTGAGCCCGCCGCCAACGAACAGGACCGGCTGCCCAAGCAAGGCCGACCATTAATGTGGCTGCCTGGCTTAGCGTGAAACTTGGGCGACACAGAGGACACTGTGGGGGACGTTTCAGCCATGACAGGAGCGACGCCGTTACCTGGAGGGCGACAGACCAGCGCAGGACTCTCAGAGACTCGGCAGGGTGAACAAATCCTTAATACACAGAAAAACAAGCCTGAGAGGCTCATCTCACCACTTCAACCTCTTCCAATACTTTGTGTAAAAATTGAGCTGACCGAGCAGCCGACTCAGGCTGGCGACTGTTTAGGAAGACCTGAGCGTTTTGTAGCTGTTTTGCAGAGAAAGACTCTATAAGCCTCTTTATTAACAGATCGTTTTACTGATGCTAATGTAAACAAACATGATATTCATGACTACTGTCTGATGGTAACAAGCTCAGATGATTATTGCACTTCATTATTTGTTATAACAGGACTGAACGAAGAGGATAGAATCAGAATAAAGCCGTAACTTTCATACTCAATGATCATTTCCATGGCAACATGAACGTTTATTTGCATCTACAAAAAGGAAACAAACTAAAGAAACTTATTTTTATGGCGGTGAATGTGAAAAATGCTGCTTTCGTCAGCATGTGGTAAACAAGCTTGAGGCTCTTATTTTGAAATAAAAAAGGAAACAGCTGGTTTGTCTTTCTATGTTGACTGTTGGACAAAGATGTCTCCTCGGGTTGACCGATGCTCCTTACACTTTAAACTCATTTATGTGGCAACATTTTATGTTAAAAGAATTAGCAATGAGAGAAAGGGATGGCTATCCCTTAGCTGCTAGCGATGCTAAAGCTAGGATCTGATCAGGGCTAAACTAGACCAGTTTTTAAATATATTATTAGCACATCTTTAGTTAAAAACTGTAGCAGAGTCAGGACTAAACCTGTATAATCTTTAGTCTGTGAAAATAACAAAATGTGACTCCTAGTTTTCCCACGATTATTTTTTCCTTGTCCTGTTAGCTGGACTCTTTCCTACTTGAAAGAGATTTACAATTCGCAGGTGAAGTGTCATTTTTTATTTCACAAAAAACATTATCTGAAGGCACCTTACAAAACAAATGGTGTTGTGGCAACGCCTCTGATTTTCACCAACTCAAAAAGTATATAAGAGCCTAAAAGTTCTAAAACTCCCGGACAAGCCCCCAAATATATCTAGAAAAATTGTTTACATCCTTCATTTTCATAGTTTCGTAGCATAGCTTTGAACAGTAAGAGTTGATCTATGTGGCCTTTAAGTGATTAGCCAGTTAGCAGCCAGTCTCATCTCTCAGATGTCTGACTGATAAACCCGGCAAAGCGTCTCAGGTTTTATTTTCACCAGCAGCTTATGAGGAGAAATGAACTTACTGGTCTCTGTGATCTCACTGATTACTGTCAGGTGGTCGACTGATTTCTCTCTTTCTATTGATCGGCCCTCTGGAGCGTCTGATGTTTGCTGTTCTTCAGCGGCGGGCTGAGGGGCGGCCTCTCCGTCTGGCTGTGAGCTCGTTGGCTCCTCCGGCTGCTGCCGGGCCGCCATGCAGGTTTCTGGGGCGCCACTGGGACTGGTGGCCATCGGACTGGTCAAGTGGTCTGGTGAGGAGGAGCTGAAGGCAGAAATCGTTCTGGAAAGGATTGAAGAAGAAGTCAGTGGTCATCCCTGGAAAACTAACAAATGTAAAGCTTTGGTATAGAACTGATGGATTTTATGGACCTCCATCAGCACCAGGCTGAACAGAAAACAGGAGATGAGTGAAACAGATTTATTTCTTTTAGTCAGTGCTGCCATTTGTAGAGAAAGCAGAAATTACGTTTCATAGCAACAACATGAATTATAGACTGAAAAATGGAGGCAGAAGTAAATTACAGCAAAACAGGATGTTGAGAAAAATATCCTGACATCAGCGGCTCACCAGGCCGGAGCTGTTCTGCTGATCTGTGCCGAGTTGAACATGTTCACCGCTGACACTGAATCAGAATAACCCCAATCTCTGAATGACATACAGTTCGCTCCTTTATTCTGAAATTTACCCATAATTTACTCCCAGATTAACTCAGCTGGTAATTATATGGCCACTAGGGCAGTCTTAGTGTGTTGGAGTGTTATTCTGACCAGTATAGGCACTGGAATCGGACCGGCATGCACTGGAATCGGACCGGCATGCACTGCAATCGGACCGGGATGCACTGGAATCGGACCGGGATGCACTGGAATTTGCAAATTACTAAATATTTAGTTTAAGATTTATTTGAAAATAAACAGAAAACATGGTGAAAATGTGGCTTTGCAAAGAGAAAAAAAATGTTTTTTCTCTTTGAATAAATAACCAAAATTATTGCTGTTAATTTTTGACAGTGTAATTTTACAGGCACATCTTCATCCCGAGGAAGACTCTGCTGATCTCACAGCAATCAGTGGGGGAGGGGGGAGAGGCGTCTGACAAACCACATCATGATTAAAAAATGTAATCATGAGTTTTATGACATGAATTAAAACGTTGTGTTTACAGTGTTTGGATGTAAATCTGAGGATTTGATTTTTATGAACCTTTAATGATTTTAGGATTTTCCATCCTGAGACTCAGCAGTCCAGAAAGACCAGCGGCCCGCCGGTGGCCCGGTTGGTACCGGAACCATCGACTCCCACAGCAATTAACCTGCTGGTTCTGTTCAGCTTCGGACCGAGGATTAACGGCTCGGATTTATCAGAACCGGGGGAGACAAACAGAACTGACCTCTGACCTCTGGTGTCTGGGCCAGCAGAGAACCGGACCAGAACCGGTTCCGTTTGGTCTGGATCAATCGTGGTCGAGTTGGGAGTTAGAACTGGACCACTTCTGGGTGTGAATAGTTCTGGTTTGAGTCGGACCTCTGCTGACCTGGCCCGGTCCAAATCCATTAGCAGGTTTCTCTTTCCATTAGCAAGGAGATGCTAGCAAAAAATCAGCATAACTTCCTGAAGTCCATCCATCCATTTTCTAACACCTGGTGGGTCGGGAGGAGCTGCTGCCTCTCCAGCCAATGTTCAGGGTGGGGTCACCTGGACGGGTCACCTGGACGGGTTGCAGGGCAACACGTGTTTTTGGACTGTGGGAGGAAGCCAGAGAACCTGGGGACTCCATGCAGAAAGACCAGGGCTGGGAATTGAACCCAGAACCTTCTTGCTGCAAGGCAACCTCTCTACCAACTGCGCCACTGTGCAGCCCCAACTTCCTGAAGTGTTTATGAAAAATTCATTAAAAAAGAAAAGAAAAACTTTGGGCACCCCTAAAAGTTGGCGCCCTGGGCTGCTGCCCTAAAATCTGTAGACAGAAACCAGTTCAAGCTGTTTACACCTAAATCCTGTTTGTGTTCATTAAATTCTTTAAATCATTTTTCAGCAGGAAAAATCTTCAGTTTAATTTTATATTCTCAAACATTTCATTCAAATTTGAAAATAAATACAATATTTTTTATTGAGTCAAAATTGTTGCATTGAT